TTTATGTTATACTTTATATTTTACTACTGTTATTATAATTATTCAATTAACTTAGATATATCAATTTACATTACAGTAGGTAAAATAATAAACTATACATCTATTGTAATTTTTATAACACATCAGGTATTTTATAAGATAAATTATATATTAATTTACCTATGTAATAACCTGAATCCAATGAAAAACACTTTTTATAATCAATTATTTTTTCTGAATATTATAAAGGCATATTGAGATATAAATAAAAAATAACATGTCCCATGTATGTCGTTTACACATCTAAATCACCCAATATTAGGGTGTAATTGTTCATCTAAACGTAAACCGTACTAAAATAATATATGCCTCTCTTCCTCCTAAAATATCAATCGATGTCCGTATATATGATACCCATAAGCGTGCGCAGACATTACTGGCAGGGTAGTCAGACATGACACATTAACATTTAATATTAACAACAAATTTGGATAGGATAACTTAATTTAACTTAATAATTATATTTTCCAATATTCTTATACATGTATTTACGGTTTACAGACGTTTAGAAGTGGTTAATCATAATATGGTTATTTATTATTGTGATAATATTGAATATTTTGGTGAGGAAAGGAAGTTTTACAGAGTAGTTAAGTGCCTACCCCGACTATCCCATGCGCACGCTTATGATGATACCTGTCACATCATAATCAATCGGAAAAATACATGATTAAATGAAATACGCATATTATACTATGAGATTTTACAGAGACGAATTTAAAAAGAGCCAAGGTATAATTGGAATCAAATAATTATTTTACTTTCTTTTATCAACAATTATAAATCAGAAAAGTCAATAACAAAATCAGAAGATAATAGATTGCATTTAATATTATACAGTCTTGGAATAGCTATGATGACCACATTATGGGATGATATACTAGAAAGATTCAACAAAACTAGTAAACAATTGAGGTCTGTTTAGATTGATTTAGAGACATTTGTAAGTTTATACAAATCATTAATTGGATATTTATTATATTTAGAGAGTATGTTTGATAGCTATGAAGGGAGAGTAATTAATTGATACACAAAACATTTCGTAAAATACCGGGAAATATTTGCAAAAGAAAAAGAGAAATACATTTTGAAATTCGAGATTCATTAAAAATTAATATTTATTATATATTATTGACAAACTACTTCTAAACCTGAAAGATAAAAATTGTATTATGATGAAGCCAATAAAAATGTTACATTTTATTTTAAATAATAAAACTATCACTATCTGAAGTTTACATAAAAGCAGAAATACTTAAAAAAATGTATAAAAATAATATTTCATTTTCATTTTCTAACGAGTAAATAGAATTCAGAAATTATATCATGTCTTTAACTGAAAATAAAAAACATGAAATTGTAATAGATATTTGCAAAATTATCAGAACTGAAAAACTACAAGAACCGTTTCCTAGCATAGTATAGCATTAAGGATGTATCTATGCTGCCCAACGTCCATTTGTTCAACCGAAAAATAATTTTTAGCACTAAACAGAGTTAAATCTTATTTAAGGTTGAGAATGACTAATGATCGTCTTAATAAGTTAGCTATTATCTCTATTGGATCTGCACTTACTATATATATATAAACTTTGATGATATTATAAATACATTAGCAAAACAAAATACACGTAGAAAATTATAATTTTTTTTTAATATTTTACTTGATTAATTTACCTCAATATATATTACATTAAAAATATTTTTATTTATAAAAACCCCCTTATGTTATAATAAAAATTAATTCTTAAAAAAGGACACTTAAGGAACAGTACTCCAGGGTGCCAAAAATCTAAATATGCATCAGTTCACATAGGTACAATTATTTCTACCCATTTCTAATATGATTTACTTTACTATAATTAAAAAAAGTTATTTTCAAGTCTATTAGAAGTAATTGCAAAACAAATTAATTATTATCATGCAATAACTGTGGTCTTATTCATCCATGGTCTAGTAAGCTAAGAAAAATTGCTATCGACCAGTTTTAGATTTCGTTTGCCCCAAGGGAACTACTTTCAATTGGACTACGACCGAATAGAACTCTAGATCCTAGGGTAAAAAACTTTTCATTAGTTTTTCCACACTTTTTAAAACTCCCTCTTTTTTAAATCTTAATTTACGTTGTGTTTCTTTTATACAGCCACCAATCCCACGGGAATGAATCGTGAAAACGTGACAAACGAGATTTGGACTTTTCTCCTTAGTCTTGTCGCAGTGAATTCTCTGAATAACTTATCACAACATTAAACAATATAAAATTTTAAAATCAGATTTTTAGTTAAACTTTCACAACTAATCATCAAATTTAAGATGAAAAAATGTTGACATTAATTAAAACTTCTTAACAGTTTCCACCTTTAAGAGTAATATTACAAGCCTAGTTTTAGTTCTAATTAATTAGAAAATAAATTGAAACAGAACTTCTATAAAGTCTATATATTTTAACGAAAATTGCAAAGAACAATGGTTATTAAAATAACAGTCTTCTGAATTAATAATACATCTATCCAAATGTCACCTGAATCCTGCAAAATAACTTAAACGTGAGAATGTTACATTCAAATGTTTTAATTTGTTCGATATAAATATCAAAAACACTTTGAATTTCACTTATTTTTTCATTCATATGTAAATATTTTATGGTGACACAAATTTTCATAACAGTAAAACCAAATTATTTTCCTGGATACAGATGATTTATGTGATATTCAAATATTATAGTTTACGAATGCAAAATGGCTAGATATATAAATTATATTTGTATGGGGTCAGCTCAATATTTGAGGCTATTGTATTGAACGCCGTGTTAGATTTTCCAACGAGTCCACCAACGAATTAAAGTTTTATGGAAAATTCATGAGAATAATTGTGTGGTCAGTTCACTGAAAAAAATAGTGTAATATAAAAAAAATGTAAATTTGATATCATAAAACTAATTGATGTAGGAAAACAAATGTTGTCGACACAGTACTCGATAATCGCATTATACACTGGTACATTTTGATTTCCAAAATAATTAACAGCTCTTCTGGATTTACTCGGGTACTCCTTAATTGAATCATACCCGGACAGCTCTGGCTAGCCCTTCCTCTCCCTTCTCCCTATACCAATGATATACCCAGTACTCTAATGACATGGTACAGGCAAAAGGTTGGGGTTCATGAATCACGTTGACGTTTCAATGCAAAATGCAATAAAAACGTTACGCATCTTTAACATAAATTTACCTAAATTATTTTACATATTCGTATATATAAACTCAAAATGAGAAATCAAAGGAATTTGCAAAAAACAAAATCATAAATCTATGAGATGTATGAAAATTGCAAGGAATCAGACTCGTGTATGAGATAAAGGTTTTTATTGGCAACATCCAAGAAATATGCTATTATTCGTAAGAGGATAGCAGGTAGACGTATAATTCCTGTGGGATTTTGAAGAGGATGGCGTGGAGGAAGTTTTTCATACCCAAGGCCATTAGTGAATCACACTGGGGACTTCTAAAAATAAAACTTTTCGCTCTTGGAGTTATTACTTCTGCAGGGAATCCTGAATGGTCGTTCGTTTATTGTTACTGTTTTTTTTTTTTTTTTTAAGTTGAAGCTTACCATTTATTTACATTATTTACATTTAGTTTTAATTTTAGATCTTTAAAATTATTCCTTTTAATTTGTTGGCTTTAATCGAAAATATATATTTCAATTACAGTATATAGTAATTTAAAGAAACAAAGAAATTATATAATATATATATATATTATATAATTTCTACCACTAGTAGAGTTTTTCTATAAATAAAATACATTTTACACAGTGCAGGTTTTATTATACATAATTTGAACATAAACAGTCTTGGTGATAATATAAAAAAATTCATAATTGATATGATACTATGAATATAGATTAGTATGTATAATTAACTAACAGAATTAGGTTATTCTACAATACTCATATTATTTATGTATACATAATATATCCATTTTCGGGAGGGAGTGGGGTCCTAGATTTAGATCTCCTAGAAGAAGATAAAGGTTATAGTTTAACGATGTTATCAATAAATATAAACCGTAATAAAAACTGAAGAAATTATTTATGAACCATCAAAAAAAAAGACATTTACATTTTTTATTATAAATAGCTCTTAATTTATGAATATAATAATAATATTATTAATAATAATATAATTATTAATTTATTCATTATTAATTTCATTAAATGTATTTTTTATAATATTATAAAATCATTTATTTTTTAGGAAAATTTTAACCTCCTTCACAAAAAATTTAAAAATATGCCACTGAATATGTCATATTACAATTTATAATAATTATTATAAGTAGACTAGATTTAATCATAATGAATTCAAAAATGTTTTCATGAACATTTGCATGGCAACCAGAGTGAATTCATGCCTAGTAACCAAATCAGCATTTCTTTTTAACTTGCAACTGTATATATAATAATTTCAAATTTGAGTAAAATATGTGTATCATCACAGTACTTAATAAGTTGCAATTATTTTAAAAGTATATGCGTAAATTCATCTCATTTTTCATATAAAAGCTGATGACACGCATTTAAAAACAGATTTGGTATAATAAAATGGTTCTATGGGTTCTAGACGCCCTCTAAATTGGTTCATAACTGCCTATGAATTGTAATCTTTTACAATTTAAATGTGAATAAAATACTCTTCATTTTGAAGGTAATAAAAATAAAAGAGCTTTTATCTTAATAAATAAATTAAAATTGTATTAAAAATAATTTATTAACGTATAAAGTTATAAATTTGAGTGGAAAAATCGACATTTTTTAGGCCCTTTCCAAAATAAAATATTACATATGTGTTTGACCATCATTTTTATCTATTAGACTTACAAGTTAACTACTCACACCATCGCTTTTTACGTGAACACAAACAATTAATTTAACAATATTTATGTAGTATGCGATACTCACAGGAATGGACGGCAACAGCAGACGGTATAAATACTGCAGGATTAAAAACAATTGATTCACAATATGTTGTGCACGGTATAAGATGAAATTATTTACATTAATGTTTATATTAAATTTATTTCAAAAATAACTTAAAACAATGATGATATAATAGGTAGGTGGTAGTCACAGTACGAATGTAAACAAATCGAAGAAATTTAATAAATTCATAAATTTGATTAATGTTAAATATTAACAAACGTCGACGATTTACCTCGTTTTTCGAATGCTGATAACGAGGGAAAAAATAGAAAAATATTCATGCGTTCGATCGACAACGCGGGCGCACGGGATGCACGAGCGAACGACGAACAATCAACCGAGTTTCCCCGACGGTAGCACGACACTGACTGCGTGCGCGTCCGCGGTTTTTCGCCCGCTGGGAAAAACCCTCAATAGGGGCTGTCGTATTCCAGCGGCGCACGTAAGTTATTTCCGACGCACCCGCATACACACACTCGCACAAACACGGACGCGCGCACACACACGCACACACGCACTACGCGTCGCGCGCTAACCCGCTGAACGGCCAGTGGTATATACGTGCACGCACCCCTGTAAATTATAATTTAAGCGGTCGCCGCGTACAACACCTCTATTCCGCGGCGAATGAAAAAGCCAAGTATATAATATTTCGGTACAGGGGCGAATGATACGCGCAAGTCGACGAGGGAGCTGGGCGCCTGTGCATGGTATAAATAATAATAAATTACCGAAAGAGGAAAACGAGAAAACCCCGAGTATACCTGAATATATACACACATATAAAGCATGTACCATAGGTACATGTATGCAGCGTTTTTCCTCTCCTAAAATATACGAGGATGACAAATAACTGAGCCGTCAAATAACATGCATGCATTTACACTTACACTGTTGCGTTTCTTCAAGATGGGGGTTCCCGGGTCTCACCAGGGGGAGGGAGGGGGCTCTAAAAAGAAGAAAAAAGGTTACGGTTTAGCAATGATATCGGTAAATAAAAACTACTGAATAATAGCTGAAGAAATTATTGATGAACTGGCAAAAAAAAGACGTTTATATTTTTTAATATAAATAACTCTTAATTTATATCTATAATAATAATAGAACAATATAATTATTAATTTCTACCTTAAATGTATTTTTCATAATATTATAAAATCACTTATGTATTTTTTAGAAAAATTTTAAGCCCCCTCACAAAAAATTTAAAAATACGCCACTGATAATATATATACATATATACAGTGTGATCAGAATTTCGTGCGACAAAATGTGTGTGAATAAACACAGATAACAGTATTTTCTATACTTCTATAACATCCATTTAAAGATGCGATTCCTAAGGACGTGTCTGTAGACGCGCGACCGACGCGACCAACGCGGCGCGACTAATTTTTGCGGTGCGACTGAATAGGTATTCCGTACAACTACAAAACATAGCTGCAAGAAACGCGCGGCAAGTCTATAATGTACATTGTTATCAACGATGATCGGTCGCACGTCTCGTGCGTTTTGACCGCCTACTGTGCGGTCGTCAGTTGTGCGATTAGAAACGCAGCAGCCGCGAGACGGTGTTGGGAATAGGTTTCATTTAAAAATAGGCAAAGAAGCTAAAATTAAAGTCGCGCCGCGTCGGTCGCGGGTCTACAGAATCGCACCTTAAACCATTATTAATTACATTAATTATTATTAGATTATTTTTTCATACGTCGTACTACGGAATCAGTACTACTGTGACCGTTGATGATCGTAGTGTAGCTCGTCAGTTCAAGAAAATAACGATTAATTTACACGATTGGTCGCTAATAATTATGATTCAGTTAAATTTTTTAAAAAATTTTATGTAGCTTAGTCAACATTGTGTTTTAGTATTTATACTTAGGAATAATTTTTTTTTTTTTTTTATATTTTAAGGCGTACAATCTGTAAATAAATTATTACAATAAGTACACATGCGGTAATATGTATTATAGCTTGACATAACATGATAAAAGCAGCCACCCAATGGCGACACTTTATGACATGATTAGGTTGAATTTAAATTTACCTCTATATATTTAGCTAATTGATATTTAAGTCTCTACACCATTTTCTCTTCAGTCGACGAAGAGGGTTACCAGGAATGGTGTCGGAATCTAGAGCAGAGATGAGTGGATTGGAGTGGTTTGACAGTCGGGAGCGGAAACGTTTATAAAAGATTTTGGCAGTTTCTTCTATCGTATTCATTTTTAAATCTGTATGGAGGGTGTGATTAGAAACGTAAAATGGGGCATTTGTGATTAAACGGAATGTTGTGGATTGGAAAATTTGAATTTTGTTTGTGTTTGATTTTTTGGCTGCGCCCCATAATTGGATCCCGTATGTCCAAATGGGCATTAATAAAGTTTTATATAGGAGTAATTTTGTTTTTATATTAAGTTTAGAATGTTTACCGAGTAAGAATTGTAGCGATTTTCGTCTAGAGTTTAAGAGGATTTTTTTCTTTTTTATGTGGTCTGCCCAAGTTAATCGTTGATCTAGAAATAAGCCCAAATAACGAGAGCTCGAGGATTTTGGAATATTTTGGTTGTTTAAATGTATAGGTGGTACAGTACCATGTTTTAATGTAAAAGTTAGATGGGTAGATTTTTCGTGATTTATTTTTATTTTCCACTTGTCGTACCAAGAAGACATGAGGTCTAGGTGGTTTTGTAGATTCATGCCAGCAATTATTGGATCTTTGTGTGTGGAATAAATAATTTTGTTATCGGCAAAATCTGCAACTGAGGTGTAAGGGGTTTTCGGTTGATCAGCTGAGAACAGGTTGTAAAGGGTAGGAGATGAAACGGCTCCTTGTGGGACCCCTGCAGATATTCGGGCTAAAGACGACATTTCTGATCCAATTTTGGTCACAAAATAACGGTCTTCAAGATAAGATTTGTAAAATAGGTAATAAGGTAGAGGTAAAATTTTTTTTAATTTATACAACAGACTAGGATGCCACACTTTGTCGAATGTCTGGGCTATATTAAAGAGGACTGCTGTGCAATATTCTTTTTTTTCTAAGGAACTAGATATGCAGTCAGTCAGCCTGTGTATTTGGTGAATGGTTGAGTGTCGTTCACGAAAACCAAATTGAGTTTGTGGTATAACTGATACGTTATTTATAAAAGGAGAAATCCGTTTTAATACTAACTTTTCACAAAGTTTACCGAAGAGAGGTAGGAGACTTATCGGTCGATATGAACACGGAGTATCAGGAGGTTTACCTGGTTTTAAAATTAGGATGATAACAGCGGTTTTCCATTGAAGAGGAAAATGGGATAGTCTTATGATTGCGTTTAATATATGCGTGAGGTGTATAATTGCTTTTTTGGGTAGCTGCAGAGCTACTTCTGACGTAATTAAATCCAAACCGGGAGATTTTTTGGCGCGGAATAGTTTTAAGTAGTAATGAATTTCACCCGATGAAATAGGTTTCGGTGCTAGATAAAGTGGAAATGGGGTAGTAAGAGAGTTCACAATATGATCTTCAAATACATTATTGACAATGTTATGGAGTTGGAAGACTTGAAGCAAATGAGATCGAAAATGTTCACACTCTTCTGCATCGGTTTTGCACCAAGTATTATCTAATCTTTTTATGGGGGAATTTGTGGTTTTTTGTTTCAAACAACTACGAGTTGCTCTCCACAGAGAACAATTTTGCGATGTAAGCGAAGAGACCCAAAAACTGAAATTATCATTTCTTAGTTGTTTTAGAATACGTTTGAGCGAAGAAGCAAGGTTGTTGAATGATTGTTTATCAGATGGGAGGCGGGTGCGTTGCCAAAGGGATCTGGCTCGTCGTTTTTTTACTATGAGTTCACGGACATAAGTAGGAATTGGGAAAGAGTTTTGGGCTTTCCACGGTGTTTTAATAGTGGAACTCCAAGCAGCTGTTTGGATTATATCCGTACACTGTTGAACAGCATTTTCAAGTTCGTTTGGACACTTAAGTCGGGTTTTTAGGTTGATTTTCTGTTCAATTATTTCGCGGAATTTATTCCAGTCTGTAATACCATCCGCAAGGCTAGCTTGTCGGGACCGTAGGGGAGGTTGAGCATCTAGAGATAGAAGGACTGAAGTATGGTCTGAGCATAGTTCTAAATAGTTATTTATGACATTTTGTAATCTCGTAGGGATATTTACTACAAATATGTCTAAGATATCTGGGCGTTTATTTATAGACGTTGGCCAGTAAGTTGGATCGGGGGGAGCTAATATGGTATAATTTTTTCGATTAACTATTTGGAGTAAAGTACGTCCTTTTGGGTTAGACGTGTGGCAGCCCCAGGATTGGTTTTTGGCATTTAGGTCACCACCGACTATAAAATAGTGACCTAAATAGTTAAAAAGTTTTCGAACTGTTGTGACGTAATTTTGTGTTTGGGTGGACAGTATGTTGCAGCAATACTAATTGGAATGTGATTTAATTTAATTGACAAAATGGCAGCTTGCAGATAGTTTTCTTGTATATTAGAAAAGGTGGTATATAATAATGAGGATTTTATAATAATTGCGGCACCAGCGTGGGAGGTGTTATCTGGATGGTTTGAGGTGATTATATTATAACCAGGTATTGAAAATTTAGTATTTTTAGTAAAATGTGTTTCAGAGATTAAGGCTAAGTCTATTCTTTTTTCATTTAGTGTTAATATAAGTTCATTTATATGATTTGTTAATCCATTGGCATTCCACATAAGGATGGCTAAAGAGTGAGAAGTAAATGAGTTATTTGACTTTTGACTTAATAGACTGTTAAGAACTGTGGTGAGTGAAGATAGTAGTGGGTTTATGAGTGATTTAAACTCATTGAGAAAATTAAAGAGTGCATTTTCATTTATAGAATTATTTGGTATTTGGGATGAGTTATTAGGTAGCCTGTGCGTATGTATAGTTTGGTCTTTGGGGTATGAACGTGTTGGTAGTGGGCTGTTGGGTGGCTTCACAATCGGTATTTTTAACATTATCATTATTAACATTTTTTACAGTATTTTTATTTGTATAATTACTATTTTTATTTGAAGTAGGCTTACGAAGTTGTTGGAGATTTTTGTATACTTGACAGCCCTTGTAATTTGCTGGGTTAGGAATAATTAAAATTTAAAACTGAATATTATACGAATTAAAAAATAATAAGAATATTGATATTTTTATTTTGCCACTGTAACTTCAAGATAAAGCAAATATAACCATTATAATACGAAACTTTGTGTAACAAATATGTATATTTTTATTTGAGAAAAAAAATGGAGTTTATATTTGAAAAACATAAGTTGATATTTCATGAGAAAACTTTGAATGTATTGGGAAATATGGTAATTTAAGACATATGTATTTTATAAA